TTCTGTTTATGTACAGGCAACAAACAATTACAAGAGGATTCCTTCGACAGTACAGCAAGGGTCACAGATGTTTATAAGGCAATGCAGGACCTGTGGGTAATCTCTTCTAGTTGCAACCACTCCATCTGAGTTTGGACCTGAAAGACCTAGGAAAAGAGCAGTGTGGGGAGGTAGAAGGTAAGTTGTCAACAAGCACACCTTGTGACAATGCACAACATCATTTTTGAATACAGGACACACCAGTCAAAGCTTCTGTCTAGGCTTCCAGTTCCTAGCTCTGCGGAATTTGAATCAACATGAGATAGACATGTGGTCTGAAATTGGCAGATGTATGTGTTTTTAATCATTTTGTTATGACATTTGGCTAAACAAAACTCTTTTTGAATTATCTAAATTTGCTTCCTTATACCAAAAATCAGTTTAGATCATCAGTGTTACAGGATTTTAGTAACACTGTGGAGCGTAATCCCATACAGGAGACCTGAATTTACACAGCTATGTGCACACTTATACACACATTTTGATCAAATCAAACATAGCATTGAGATTTAAGAGTAAAACAAATGACTCCTCTACTTTAGAAATACAGAATCAGAAAAGGGCCTAACAAAAGCATTTCCCAATGCATGTTGGTGTTATTTTACAGGCTATTAATAATTATTTGATCTAATCCATCCTCTGTTCTAATCTATGGAAAAGCAGCTCGTATGGTTAAGCCTCAGGACAACAAATTAAAGAAGCGATGAATCAGTTGGATGTTACATAGCAAATCTTTATAAAGAAGCTTAACTGTTGGCCAAAAATGGTTCTGGTAATACCCAAAATCCATCTGTTATTGTTCATAAACCAATACATATTTAGGAACTAAAATATCCTATCTGTATGGAAAAGAGCTTGCTTCACCTACTATGAATCCTGCTCTGCCTTTAAAATTGTTTATACAACTGATCCTGATGAAGTTCAGAAAGCTGGTAGGTGAAAGCTTCAGACTGGGTCAAAAAAACAAACGAGAATCACTCTGAGCTATCTAGCACAGCACTTGAGCAGAAACAAGAACATATACTTACTGAAGAGTCATCATTAAAATAATCCTAGGTGGTATTAACTTTTCAAATAAGCAAAGCAATACACCTTTACAAATTTTATTTAAAATATATCAAGAATTCAACAGTTCAGTGATAAATTCTCAAGAATATATTCTGGCTGTACCTTTGCAACATAGCTTAACATTCTGTCTCCAAGAAAGGGAGAGATGGAGAAAGGAAAGGATTTTTTAAGGAAATATTTTCAATTAAATAAATGTACTTACTGCACTGCAAAAGGAAAAGGCATTATTGCAAGATTAGCTTACAGCATGAGTCCTTAGAAGTCTCATTTTTAAATGGCACTACTCCCAGGTAAATTGCTTTCCAATAAGTTACAAAATATTAGTGTTATTATGATCATTTTTAAAAAAATCAAAGATATTTAGAACATAAAAGCATTAACTCAAGTTATTGGTTGATTCACCCCATTTAATCCTAACCACTCCTTCTTCCATTTATCTCTTAATATATGTTCTTTTTTTTTTTTTTTCAAACTTCCCAATCTTGTAATTAATTAATAAAAATAAAGGTACACATTTTCAAAACCTCAGAGTAAAGATACTTTGGGGATACTGAAGAAAAGGTTAAGGGATGTTACAATTTAATAAACAAAGGCTTTTACCCATTGTTAGAAAGACATATTTCATATTGTTATTCTCAGGATAATATTCTCCTGTTAGTCTGAGAGAAAAAAAATATCCTTAGAGCAAATTTGACTACCCTCAGCTTGCTCTCACAAAATAAATGTGGCTCCAGCCAAAATCCTTCCCTCAAAAAGCTAATTCCATGAACCCAAGGGTACTTTAGACTTGCCTTTCTTGAATAGTAGCCCTCCAGCCTCTTGTGAAGTTAATGGAAGTGTCAAATGCCATTTCAAATTATCATATGAATAGGTCACTCTCTTAGCATGAGCTAAACAACCTGTTTGATCGAACTCTAAGCTGCGGGTTGATTAACTCGCTGTTTAAAGACACCTTTAGTTTTTAATCACTGAAAGTATTATAGTAGATTAAACTAAATTCATGCACTAAATCTTTGTAAAGCTTGTGGGAAAAGATAGCAAAACAGATCCCATCTTTGAGTTCTCTTCTCATCCTCAAACAATCTATTCCTTTGGTGAACACAGGAAAATTTCAGAATGGCTATGTTTGAACAATCATATCTGGTTTAATAAGCCAAAAAATGAATAAGCCTTGTGTATTAGAATAAGCGGTCTATTATCTTTCTTGGAATGCCATAATTAAATCCGGAAGTCCTTGATCATCCTTTTCTATTTTGCCCAAACTATGTCTGGGAAGGCGCAACTATGATTACCATCTTTGAAACAAGTCTTAATACATTACCTTAAACTAACATGTACAGTTGATTTAAAATCGTGGTTTGTTCCATATCTGATAATTGTAATTTCTAGGTTCAGATGAAATAGGAAATCATGGTTACTTGAAAACTTCTTGGTTTATTGTGCCACATGAAGAGGAAGCAACATAATGATGAAGTGCAGATGCAAAAGGATTTTGCATATCTCATTTTACTGAGCTTACAATTGTCCTCCAAAGCCAAGCCAATTTACTATTAGTGGTCTGTTTGCCTAGTGTGAAAGATTAGTGTAGCTTACATTTCACCTCCAGAAAACTAGTCCTGTTCCCAAATTAAAGAGCAGCCTAGTTCTCACTTACACAACTTGTTGTTACTTATGAATGTTAATTTTTATAACTATCTGGACAAAATGTTCCAGAGCAAAGCATAAGATGCTCCCCTGCACTAGAGGCATTCAAGGCGAAACTGTACAGTTATCTGAGGGGTACGGTGTGTCTTGGCATCCTGCAACAGCAGGGGATTGGACCTGAATACAACTAGACATGTTAAAACAGTTGGCATGACACCCATTTCCCCATCCCTTATACCCTTTAGAACTGGTAAATACCTCTGCATAAAAAGCAATCTTAACTTGGCACTGAAAGGGTAGTAGAATTTGTACCAGGCAAGTCTCAGTGGGGAACTTGTTCCATAATTGGGGGGTCACCACTGAGAAGGCCCTCCTTTTTATTGTCACCAACGAAGCCTCCCTTGGAAGTGGCAGTTGAAGGCCTCAGATTTTGAGCATAGTGAGTGGCCAGATTACGTCAACACTTAACAGGTCAAAATCCTCTACCAGAAAGTTAGGGTAGTAGGTTAGTTTAGGGCCTAGCGATGTGTTTTGGGGTTCCACGTTTTTCCCAGAAAAACTAATAATCTATCATTGCTGGTTATGAAAGCCAGTGTGCTATAGTGGTTATGAGTATTGGGCTTGGGTTAGGGTTAGCGTTCTAGTCTTCACTTGGCCCTTAAATTCACTGGGTAACTGTCATTCACTCTCAGACCAGCCCACCTTGCAGGGTTGCTGTTATGACAATAACATAGAACTATGTAAGACACCCCGAGTTCCTCACAGGAAGAAAAAAAGGCAGAATAGAAAAGCAATTAATAGTAATAACAAAAATGCATTGATTTAGTCATGACAGTGGCAATATTGAAGTATATAGTGTATTTTATATTGTATTTTAATGTGCAGTTGTGAACAGCCCAAAACTACACATTAAACACACCCTGGTTGTGGGGTGATATAGAAAATTAATAAATAAAATGCTGGGGGTTGTAGGCCAAAATCTGAAGGGCCATTCCCTGTCTTCCATACTCTGCCTAACAGTAGAGCCAGCCCTAGAGAGAATACAGAATTTGGAAACTAATTCTCCTACTATGGCTATAAAGTAAGACAGTTTACTCTCTAGAAACCTAGCACTATGAATTAGGCAGGCACCAACCTTTCTGTGAGATTGGCACCTGCAACAAACGTATTTTTTCCAACAAGTATTCCCAGGAAGATAATCCCAACTATACGTTGCTTAGAAATTCCTTTAGTGCAAACTATTCCTATATATTGTTAATTAAATAAGACAAGGAAACATTTTGATTGAAAAATCAGTTACGTTTTTGAATCGTAAAAGTGCAGGACAAGGCGCAATGTTTTGGTTTGTTCGGAGGATAGGGTGTATTAAGTTACAAGACAAATTAAGCCATTCACAATTGTCTGAGTAATAATGTGAATGAGAGAACCGTGGAAACTTGTATCAAATCCGATCTGAGATTGTCTTAGCAATCAAAAAGGAGGTGGTTCAGGAATCCGGCGGGCAACTGCAGCCAGATTGTCTTCGAAGCAGAAGACAATGAGAGCAAAGCGCTCGGTCTCTGCGATCGGAAGAGAAGGTGGTGATCCAATGCAATTGGAATTTGGGCCATGAACTAGCGGAGCTCCACTTTCGGGCTCCTTCCACTGGAAGCTGCAGCTTCCCCAGCAGCAGCAGCAGCTTGTCAAAATAACGTGACTCGTGGGGTGGCGCGATAAGGAGCTTTTGCCAAACGGCCGCAGATGTGATGAGCGCTTACCAATAAACCCCTAAGGACAGGACCGAACCAATTCAAACTCCACGATGTCCTTTTGGTTCAATGTTTATTTCTCTTCCGCGCCGCCTCGTAAAACAGAACAGTAAATCGCTCTTTTTTTCCTTTGGCGACTGCATCTTCTACCTATTTATTAGCGCATCCCAGCCACCCCGCTTCCCTCTTTCACTCCATTACTTTTCGCTTTCCCCTCTCCCTCTCTTTCTCGCTCTTTCATATTCTACCCCCGCACACATAGACGGCCCGATCGCTCGCCCGCCGCTCGCTCGCCAGCCGTTCAGAACATGAACCGCCACAGGCACTAGAAGTAACGGAAACTCTTGTCCGGCGCCGTGGCGCCTGCGCCATCCCAACCCCTCCGCCTCGCTCCCGCACATGCCTGCCGGTCGCAGTAGTTCTTTCGCTCTCAGGTCTCGGGAGGAAGACAGGCCCAAAAAACTACACTTCCCGGCACGCACCTCGTTCCTCCTGTCCCATTTCGGGTGGCTGATCCTTTTCGGGGTGTGTGTGCGTGTGGATGTGTGTGCTCGAAGTGGGAGCGGCGATAATGAGATGCGTGTGAAGCCACCTAGTCCCGGGAGGAGACGGAGTTGCTCGGAGCCTCAAGTGAGTGGTCGGGCAGCCAGGAGGTGGGGGAGGTGAGGAGAAACGGCAGCGCGGGGGCGACGGGGAGAAGTTCTCTCAGTCCCGCAGGAGGCGGCACCGCCGCCCTTCCCGGGGTACCGGGGGAGGGGAGAAGCGAAGCCCGGAGTCCGAGCAGTAGAAACGGACTCGAGGTGAGTCCAAAGTGTAGACCTCCTCCCACGCCAGGACGACGGGTGTCGCCCCATCCAGATGTGGTCATACAGGAGAGAGGCCGGGACTCGGGCGACTCTTCGAGGCCACATCATCCTCCCCTCCCCTCCGCCAGCTGTGAGGGATGCTTCCAAGCAGAGTTTGCCTCTTCATCTTCTTTTGCTCAAAACGGGTTCCTTTCCGAAGTAAGCGTCTTTCCACGCAAGCTACTTGGGGCCTCAGAAGGAAAAGAGCCTTGTGTTCTCTTTATTTTTCCTTGCCTTCCCCCTGTGTGCAGGAAAAATGACATTCAGAATCCGAACCTGTTTCTTCAAGCCGCTTTTTGCTGAAAGAGTTACAGCTTGCGTTCAACAGGCTTTTATGGTTTTGGCCCTGGGAAAACACCCTCAGCTCACGAGTCCAGCCACAGGTTCTCAGCCTGGCAACCTGTTGGATGGCAAGAAAATGAAATGCAGGAACCCAAAGCCTCTTAAGGGGCTGGAGGCTTTAGTTATGATCCATACAATGTTGGAGTTCTTTTGTAAGTTGTAAGTTTCTGATTTCAGTGGAAGTACACCAGTGCTTCTGCGGTTCAGGGGGCTGAACTGGCTTGTGAATGGCAGGTTTAATCATTAGTAGGAAGAGTTTCTTTAAGAGTCTGCCTAATGAAGGACATTCTTGATATCATGGTAGTCCTTGTGATGCTGTGAGGAGGGGGGGATTGGATGTGCGAATGAAGAATACAGAGAATTGGGTTGGGTGGGAGGTTTTCCATTAGCTCTGATGCCTCCAAACCACATGGGGATTTTGCTGTTGGTAGTCTGGCTTTACCAGAGGCTATTAGAATAAGGGGAGAGGTGCATTCTGGTGGAAAGGGTGGTAGTGGTACTTTGCAAGCTTTCTCTCTCTCCTCCAGATTGATTTTTTTTCTCAGTCAGTCACTTGAAGGTGAAATTGTTGCAGAAGCATTTATTTCTGATCTTTGACTGAGTTCAACATATACACAGCATTTTATTAAGAAGCACATTCCCTTATGGATGCATTATATTAGAGGGCACAGAGTAGAGGAGGCAGTTACTGTTTCAGGTAGTTTTGCAAGCCTGAGGCTGTGGTTGCAATTATGGGCATGCTTACTAGAAAGTGGGTTCCACTGAGATCCAAATTCTTTCCAGATAAACATGCACTTTATTCAGCTCCACACACCCCTGTCAACTGGCACTTCTTTACAGGGAACCTCTTTTCATACAGCTGATTACCAAATCAGTGGCAGGGTAAGGACATGAACACAGCTTTAATTTGAACATTCAAAAAACCTTCCAAATGCTTAGAAAGACTGGATGGTGATTGCCAGGGCTTGACCCTCTTTGTGCTCATTGACTTCTGTATGGCTGAAAAAATTTCTTGCCATTTTTTCCTGTTTTGGGTGCATTGACCACACTGTGACATTGGAAGATCCTTACCTCCTTCTCTGTGAGGAAGGTGGCAGTGGGTTTGTCACTTTAGCCACTCGGGCTGAGTCATTTGGGAAGCCAAATAGCTACCAGCCTTCTGTCCCTGCTTGGAGCTGGCAAGTAGACCAATTCACACACCTCTGCTGCTCTATGTTTAGGAGGAAGGTTGGGGTTTGCCACATTTGTGAGGGCATGAGTGTGGAGACAGAACATGTGGAAGCCTGCTTTTGATTCTTGAGGCTGGACTTAGCAAAGATGTAGAAGCTGTGCAAAATTCTTCACTGGCTAGGTAGTGAAATAGATAAGGATTTGAATTAGTTACAAAGCCTGGTTACATAAGGCTTTGATAGCTTCTGATTTAGAAACCGATTTTTTGAAATTCAGCTTTTATAATACCAGTGAGGTTTTTTTGAAGGAGTTACAGAAATGGTTACAAAATTGTATTTCACAAGTTAATAATGCCTTTTACTCTTGAATGAGTCAGTTTGTAAGCTATTGCAGTTTAAAAAGTGGAACAAAGCCATGTCTAATGGAAGGAATAGTTTGATAAGTGTGGTTCCTTTTTCATATTCCAAACATGGGAAACTCAGATAGTTTGTATAAGGTTTAGAGCAGCAGTGAAATTCTGACTGGGGAAGAGAGGGTAAATCTTTGGAAGAGTCAGGCAAGCTTTGCTATGTGGATTCCTGACCTGATTTCTAGCCATCTCTCTTGGCTAGACTTTCTTATCTTCTTGCTAAGCTTCACACGCTTTTCATTTTGGCCTGAATACTTGGAAGTTGCTTTCTCAAAATTAACTGAGGCAAAAACCATCAGGCTATTTAAATTGGAGTAGCTAGTTTTATAGAAATAAATGCATAAGCCATTCTGGGATAGTCAGTTTGAACATTGAAGTGTGTGCATCCTTTCTTTGTTTTCTAAGATTGCAACTTGGAACAAACTGATACAGCTTGGCTTATGAGAAGAACTAGTGACAACAGTAACATCAGCATCACTCTCGCAGCTAAATTCATAATAAAATGTATCCTACTTTCCTTTGCATCTTCTGCTAAAATGCTTCCCATTACTTGGTCTTCTCTCACTTCAGTTAATGAAGTTCCACTGTCCCTGCTGGTTCTCTATGATTTATTCGGTTCAGCTTGCCTCTGCTCAAATCATGTTTCTCTCTTTTTAGGATCCAGTTGCATTTTTCCTTTAGCATTCTTAGGTGGCTGGATTTTAAGCCCACTATGTCACATTTAATTTCTGTACATTGGAGTTATATTGTAGGATGTGTGAAACATACAGATATTTCTAATGTTGGCCCTTACCTCTGTATAGATGTTTTTTTAGCTGCTATTTAGTGTAGTTTTATCATTGTTGAGGAATGTGCTATCTGTTCGTGAGAAGTTTAAGGAAATTTAAATTTATCTTTGATTCTTTTCATATTATATTATATAACTTTATTATTTAATCTAGTGAAGAGAAACTTGTTGTAATGATGGGTTGGATTTAGATTTAGTAATATTTAGAGTAGATGCATTGAAATCAATAAGTTAGCCTTATTTAAGCCAAATCCCAGTGATCTGAATGGCTCTTCTGTAACTTTTATCAGTTTAGATCAAATTGTTGCAAGTAACCAGTGAAACAGCAATTTGTGCTTGATTTATCTGCAATCTTGTTCATCCAGCATTCTTTTCCAGTTGGGAGGCAGTGATGCTATTTCTGAAAGCATATTACACTCCAAATATCTTGAAAAAAGCAGTAAGTGCCTTCTTTGAGTCTGGAAGGAATTGTTTTATCTAAAAAAAGGCATCTAATTTTGAGATTGAGCGTTGTGTTAAAAGAAATTAATTTGGGGTGAAAGGGAATATGCATACTGCACTGAAAAATATATAATTGTCCTAGAGCATAATCCTATGCATGTCCTGAAGTAAATCCCATTGAGTTCAGAGGGATTTAGTCACAGAATGATGGAATAGGGCAATAAAAGATGGCTAAAATACAGACTGTGTGAGTAATAGCTCCACTTATACATGGGTCCTCTAGAAAGTTCCACAAAGAGAAGCAGTAAATAAATATGTTTCCCTTCTCCATGTGCATATGGAAGCATTTTCTGCTTGTACACAGGTTGCATGTTGAATCTTCTCCCACATATTTTGCAATTGCCACAGTTTGTTGGTGAATAAGGTGGACTCCTTTCAAATCCCATATCTCTTAAAAGATTGGGTTCAATTTGACATTTTTGAAATGTAAGTTTGAGATAGGACTCTCAAGACAACAGCTAGACTTGTCTTTCTCATATGAACAAATACTTTTGACTTTGAAAGACGTACTTGTCTCTTTCTTCTACAAGTTAAAATTTATCTACTTTTGAACTTCATTTAAAATAGAATATTGCTCTTAATAAACACATCTTGTTGCACCAGTCACTCCTGCAAAAAGGTTGAGGTGTTGATTTTAGTCAATAGTATTTTTTGCAGTATGAAATTATGAAAAAGTTCTGAGTAGTCAAAGCTAAAATAACTGCAGAATGGTACAATGACCTGGTTTGCATGTAATGACAAATCACAGAAGCACAAGTGAGCACTTTGCATCTGGCATACTCTTTACTTCTGTTTTTTATAACTGATTTAAGTTGTGATTATGATATGTAAACTCTGAGCTTTGGGTTGTTTAGGGGTTAATGAACCCAGTGATGAACCTATGAATTGTTGTAGGGTGAAATGCTGGTTTGTTGATCTCTTAAACAACCCAGTGTTTGAGGTTTGTGTGTTGAGCTCACAACTGTGAATGGCCTGATTGTACATAGGTTGTTTACAGAAAGTGGATGTGAGACTTGTGTGGGGGGCACATGTTTGCTTGCTTGGCAAATTATGGGTTGATTTGCCCAGGATTTGTTGTTACATGTAAACTGATAGTGTATTAGAAGGCAAAGAGACATATTGTTCCAGGAATGCTGAAATGGTAGGAAGCAGTAATACTTAAAATGTATGTTGGACCACAAGTATAGTAGCTATTGTTGGAATTCTATCATAGGTTAGCTAGAATTGCCATAGAAGGTGATATGGTGCACAAGTTGAACATGGAGGGATTGTAGGAATGATGAATTTGTCAAAACAAAGACAAATTTCCGTTGCTCATACATATAGAGGGCACACCTAGCTTTCATGTTTACTCCATCTTGATTCCTTTTGCTTTTAGATGGTAGAAAGGAGGTGTGTGTGTATTTGTAGAGAGGAAGAACCATGTACTGGATACTATAATATGGGTATGGAGAAAGCTAAATTCTACTTTTCTCCTTGAAACTACTTCCTGATCAGGTAAGAACACTGAACTGGAAGCACAGGAACTCACATTCATACTGATTCTTAGCAAAAATGATTGAGAAATACTAATGTAAAGCATTATGGTTATTGGATAAAGGTTTCATTTGCTGTTTTTAGAACTCAGTTTTTCTTGTTGAAGATATTCTAGAATACACATCTTCAACATAGCACAAAGTTTTGGGCTGCATTTCGCAGGACCATTGACCCTGCTGGCTGAGGATGATGAGAATTAAAGTCTAAAACACTTGGAGAGTCCCAGCTGGAGTGCCCACAAAGTGTAAAAAATGCTAACTTATTGCAGTTTGAAAGTTGATAAGTTGGATCTAGATTTAATTATATATAATATCCACTGAAATCAACAGAACTTCAGTCAGTCAAGCTTAACTTAATCCCATGGATTACAATAGAGCTGCTCTATGTAAGAGTAAATCTGGATCCAACCTCTCATTTTTATGTCTGGAGGACTTTTTTGGCATAATATTTCCATCCAGTATTTACCTTTGCTATATTCTGTACAAGTGCCTGCATTTTCTTCTGATATCATTAGTCTTTGAACATAGCTATGTTTAGTTTCTTGTCACACTTGCGCTGTCTTTCTAGATGAGATTTGTAATCCATGTATCAAATATCAGTGTTTTTTGCTGCTGCTAGTCAGCAGTTTGTCACTGAGCCCTAAACATCATGTACATAGGAAGCAGAGGTCTTATCTTCCTAGCATTTTCCTACCCTGAATAGCAGCATCTGCCCAAGGTCTTTAGGTAAAGGTTGCTCATGTTACCCGGTACCTGATCTTTTTATATGGAGAATGGAGAATCCATGGATTGAACTAAGAACCTTCTTCATGTAAAGCAGGTACCACCAAGTTATGGATACAGGAATAAAGTGAAATTTATTTAATCTAATAAAAAGTAGAAATTGATTGTGGTGTGAGTTCAGTATCATTTCTGCTTTTAAGCAGACTGATTGTGGTGTTATGTAATATTCATAGTATATGTGAAATATTTTTTTTCTTCCAATAGGCAGTTCAAAACAATTCAAAATGCTACAGACTACCACTGTGAACCCAGCGCTTCTGTTCACTGTACTTGTATTCGTAGAAACTTTGTTTCTTCCTTTTGTAAGATGAACATCTTCTAAAGATGAACGCTCAGAGATAATTGAGGGTATCCTTATTTTTTCATCTCTGTTAAATGCAACACGGACATCTAGAAACGGAAAAGATTCATCCAAGGCAATATTTGTGATCCAGGACATTGTCCATTTTTTAAAAAACTGACAAGTGCATTGACACATTTTAACTGCATGCATGTTTTTGAATTTTTCAGTGCAATAAATCTAAGTGTGGTGTTTGATACATCCCCCCCAGCCCTGAAGCCAAGTCTAAGGTTGCCTCAGAAGTAGTGCAATGAAAAGCTTGTGTGAAAAAAACAATGTCTATTTCTGTTTCTGAAGAGAACAATTTTATAATGATGTAAGCCTCTCCCAACATCTGGATGTGGTGCTAAAAGCAAAGTGTTTTTTATCAGCTGATGGGAAGCTGTGCAAAGAAGACCTTTCATTATAATAACTTCTGGCCAAAATAATCTTAAACATCATCATGCACAGAATGAAAAAGAAAATGAAGATGACTTTGAATGAGGACAAATGAAAGAGGACATTTTTGGGAACCATAAAAGGGAAACACGTGATTATACTTGTAACACTTCAGGGTAAAGGAGAAAAGAGCACACTTTATTGACTATTGAGCAGGTCTTGACGGATTTAAATCAAGTCAGATGTCATCAAACGAATCTTCTCCTCCATCCTTACAGAAGTTTTCCCCATCTGTGTCCCATGCTGCTGCTCCACCTACTCCTTCTTTATCTTCAAGTCCACAGTCCGGGCTCTCAGGTCGACTGTCCAATGGCAGCTTCAGCACACAAAGCCTCACCAACTCCAGGGGCTCTGTGCATGGAATCTCCTTCCTACTCCAGATTGGTCTCACTCGCGAAACTGTTACAATTGAGGCTCAAGATATCTCCCTTTCTGTTGTCAAAGACCTAGTGTGCTCTGTAGTTTACCAAAAGGTACAGTACAGCACAGAATATTACTACTTGTAATTGTCTTACTACTGTTATTGGATATCTTAGTCAGGCATTTGCTTCAGGGCTTACTGAACACACAGGATGAGGAATAGTGAAGATGAGCAGGCTAACTCCATCTCCTGTCAGACACTCTGTTACCTTCCATATGTTTAAGGTGAACTTTCACAGCAGGGAATCTTTTGTTCCCATGTTGAGATCTAGTATCCTAGATTATATAGGTGGCCTTTAAATACATGTAAATAAATAAATAAATAAATAAATAAATAATAAACAGTATCCTAGAAAATCAGGGTTCTAAATTGCGTGGGGAACCTAGGTGCATACAAAAGAGGAAGGAAGTTCATTTGGCAGATGATTAGGATAGTGATGGGGGAACCACAAAGAGAGCATACTGATATTCGCTCTTCTACCCTTTCCTATTCCCTCTTCCTTTCTTCACTTATTCATTAAATCCTGAATTGAATGCCTGACTAAGGGCTTGAGTGAACAAAAAACAGCCAGCTATGGAATCTTATATATGTCTACCCATAAGAAATTCCATTGAGTTCAATGAGAATTACTTTTAGGACAATGGTAAAATAAGTAAATGCAGCCTAAATACTGTTCTGAATTCAGAATATAGCGCTCAATTGTATCTCTCTTTGATCTGTTTGTAGTTCTATCACTTGTGCGGAGATACCAATGACTGTCTTGGTGTTTTCAGCATAGTGGCATGATCATATCTTTGAATGTTGCTGACAAATTTTTACATTGCTCATTAATCGCATAGCATAATCTTGTTTAGAAACATCTATTATATTCGTATCTTGCCCTTCTTTCAGGGACCTTGGAGTAGTGTCTTAGCATCACAGCAACCCTGCAAGATAGGCCTGGTTGAGAGAGAAGGCTTATTCTTCTTTTGGATACTTTCTTGCACCCTTATCCAGGTTGTACCTGCAGAGAAATTGGAAGAGATATAAACTTTTGCTCATTTCTCCTCCATTTGCTGTGGGGACAAGTGAATCTCCTAATTCTGGAGATCTTTCCTATGGAGAAGGGAATCCAGAAAGAGATCCATGATCCAAAGGTCCACTGTAAATTGTTCCCAGGGCAAAATCTTAGGGATGAAACTTCAACTCAAGAGGGTGTTTTGACTTCCTCAAGTCCAGAAAGGAAAGTTCATAACCAAGTAGGTATTTGTGAGTTTTCTACATCTGAACGTGGCACTGTCACATTTGATTTACATTAACTTGTGGGTGTTGTGTCCCAGTAGTCTGTTCCATAGAATAGGAACAAAAAAGTATCAAATCACTCAGTGCTGAATCCAGAATTTTGAGGGCCCTTGGGTAAAACATTCTCAACAGTCCCCATCTCTCAGTGCCCTTCTCTGCACAACTACAGCACATTGTGGGCTAATTTATCTATGAGAGCTGTTATGTTGTACTGGATACCAGCAGGTGTCTTGTTTGCATGGCAAGCAGCATGCCAAGTCATGTTAATCCTGTTGGCAGGGTTTATTTGAAGGTTAGAGACCTCAAAATGCCTGGTACAAAGTAACATTCTCCATGCCTGTCATATTCTGTGAACCAGGTGGGTGTGTCTTATCATTATCATTGCCTTATCATTATTGTCACTATTGGCTATTGCTTTTCCTTAACCTCTTTCACATTATTTCTTTCACTCATTTGCTTGACTGGCAGAGATTGAGGAAGCAAGTAGGCAGTGGCATCCACTGCTCCTCCTTCCCATGACCACTGTTGTTTGAGCTTGAGAGACAAGAGGACAAGCAGGTTGCAGCGGGGAAGAGCAGAAGCAAATTCAGGGGACCCTTCTCAATGGGCCACTGCTAACATGTGCTGCCTCAGCAGGTACCCTTGATGCTGGCCCTGATAAGATGCCTGGTGCTTTTGGTCCACCACATATTGGCAATATTATCATGAGTATTACATTTCTATCCCATCTTTTTTCCTCTTGTGAAGAACCCAAGGGAGCTTACATAGCTCCATTTTATCCTTGCAATAATACCACTGTGAGTTAGGTTGGGCTGAGAGTATGCAAGGGGCTCAAAGCCACTTAAAGAGCTTCATGACCAAATGGCGATTAGAACCTGGATCTCTGAGGTCCTTGGTCCAGCACCCAAACTACCATACCTGCTCTCAGAAGCAGGCTTGGAGATAATAGGTGACTTGGACTTCCCTTCCATCCATGATGAATTTGTCATGGTTAATTGCAGGCTATGTGATGGGTTGACCAAAAATCCAACATGTCCTCTGAAAAGGATTCAGTGTTCCTACCTATTATGGTATGGATTTTGCATGGATTTGAATAGTAGGTGGTGTGGTTTGAGTTGAATTCCTGAATAATGACCTCAAAATAAGTAAACATGATACTTTCTTTCATGATCAAAAAATAATGGAATGAAGTAACACAAGAAATAAATTGAAATAGTGCATTGATAAGCTGACTTGGTTTTCTAATTCTGTGCCATTCTAAAATGTTTCCTTCATGTGTAAGTTTGTTGAATCTGGCATTCAGTCACCTCACTTTCATTAAGGATTTTAAAAGGGTTTAAAGTGACACTGGATTTTAAGAGCTACAGTTCTGTCTGTCTGTCTGGCTATCTCTCTCTCTCTCTGGTAAATCATACCTCTGTCAGATCATAGTTTCTGTTCTGTCAGTTTGGCAGCTTGCATAGCCATTTGTGTAATTTACTTCCATACTTGGACAACATTCTTAACTTTGTTGGGAGAAATCCTAGCATTTGTAGTTCAGGTTAATGATTCATGCTTTCTCTTTTGAATCCATGTCTCATGTATTTGCGCGTAAGCTTGAGTGATGTATTCTTACACTTAATCTACTTCCTGATTTTCTTGACTTCACACTTGTCACACCTTTTTTTCTTGGTTCACTTTTTAGTGTGTGTCTTCTTGTCTCTCCTTGGCAACCCCCACTTGAATGAGTGCTCAGCTACAGTTCAGAAGCATTTCATATAGGGAGCCAATTGTACTGTAAAATGACTAGAACTTCAGAGTCTGGTCTTGTCTTCTCCAGTTGGATTTAGTACAGCTACATGTGAACGAATTCTCTAATTATGCCAGCAGCAGCTGCAGAATGAACACATGTCCTCCGCAGGCAGCAAACTTCTGATCAGGAAATGGGGAGGAGGGGTGCTTGCTTGTGGTAGATTTCTTTTTCATAAGTACTCTTGCAGCTGGTGCACAGGTGGCAATATAACTCCAAGAGCCCAGGAAGATCTTAGAAGTGCTTCTGATCCTTGGCCAAGTTTATGAGCTGCATCTATAAGTCTTAGCATGAAGATCTAAGCTCAGTTTGTAGACAGGTATATGCATTATATGAATATTGTCTAACATAAAAGCATTTTTAGCCAAGTAGGAGCTGGTAGCAATCCTGTTAAGAGATCCTTTAACATAGAATTCTATCTGTGCCATTTGATAGGAAACAGATCTTTTTCTGTAGAACAGATTGCTTTGTCAAGTTCATATCAAGTTAGGGCTGAAAACTGGTGGTAACCTCTCCATACTCTTGCTTAAAAATACATATGGTTAAATTTTTTGGATCATATTTATATTCTACCCTTTCATCAAGGAGGTCACTCCAATATAAGCTTCCCCAGTTCTATTCTGGAAACAACCCTGTGAAATTGGCTAGTTGAAAGAGAGTGACTGGTCCAAGGTTACCCAGTGAGTTTCATAGCTGAGTGGGGACTGAGGCTAGGCTGCCCCGATGTAAGTTGACCAGATTATACTAGCCCTTTTCATGTATGACATGCATAGAGGACATTTACCCATAAGACTGGGGCCATTGCTTTGGTCCATTCTTAACCCTGACATCATGTGGTCTAGCTACATGCCTGAAGAAGAACCCATAAATGTAAGCAGTGGTGGGCCACACCCTTCATATTTGTGAATGTCTTCTACATGGGTAATGTGTGAAGATGACTGTTACAGGGCATGCATATGATGGGTTACCATATGTAGCGACTGGATATCTTAAAGTATGTGATGGAAAATAACAGTGTGCCTTGCGGTAGCAAACACTTATAAGATAAACCTCCCAACATGTTAAACTTACAATCTGCTTCTATAACATTTTAATTAACTACATTCTGTTGCCAGAAAATATGTTTTCAGGCCCTGTTCTTTTCAAGAGTGTAATACACTATTTATGCTTACTGCTTTAAAGTGTTTATGAGATGCTTGGGTGCAATGGAGTGGCATAAATTGCAGCTATTGTTGTTTTAGCAAGTGCAAAGTGGAAGTATTTTGATGACAGTACCAAAAAGTAGTGAATGGACCTGTTGGCATATCATGGTGGTGAATTGTGGGTTAATTAACCACTTCCTTTTCTTATACTCTTGCTTCAATAACAGCAATAGCTTTTCTTTGTTCATATCCGCTGCTTCTGAATTGATTTTGTCTAGTTAAGCTGTCTGTTTATAGTGCTCAAATGTATCCTCTTTTTTAAAAAAATCCTTTTCTGTTTCTTTTGTCAATATGACTCAGTTTCTCTTGGGAGCAGATCCATTTCTTCCCCAAGGAAAAGTGAAAGGTGAAAGTTAGAGTAGTAGGGTAGTCCCATAGGGTCTACTAGCTTTAATTTGACCCTAATCATGCATGGTGATACATTTCTTAGTATCTTATGTTTTTGGAGAAGACAGTTGGGACTTCTGCTTTTCTTGATAGCATTCTGTTATTTCAGAACCATAAACTGTAAAAAAGTATGTATGTTTTCTGAATTATGCATCTTACCCTTTCAATCCTGAATTAGTAATCACAGTTCTGTTAGTTCAAAAATATTTTTTGTTTTTCCTAAAAGTTTCTGTCTTTACATTACTCATCCTTCCCAGACTTGCCTTTCATTTTTCATTGCAGTTCCACTTTTCTGTTATCTGAACTAATGTCTCCTACAATGTTTCCTTTAATGGTTCGTCTTCCCTTTTCTGGCATCCCTTAAAGTGTTGTTCTCCATTATCTTCTCTTTTT